CTGCCTTGCCAGCCCGCTCAGAGATGTGTATAAGAGACAGGTCTAATCAAATACTTGGCCACTTGTATGATCTCATATTTGTTTTTGAACAATCTTAACAAACTTTTTTTAGAAAGGGTTTTTAAAGTTAAAGTTATACATAATTATTTATTTAAAAAATATTTTTGGTATAAAAAAGATGTAACGTGCAACGCTTTTTTATATATTTGGCGTAAATACTTTTATTTTTTAAAAAAGAGTTTTTGATATTTTTCTTTATTATCATTCCGGACAAGATTTTGTGTCTGAACGCGACGCGAATCGACGATTAAGAGATCCAACTCATTTTCTCTGTCTATTGCCTGACCTCTAATCTCTAGAAACGCTGTTTTTAATTTTACCACAAAACAGCCTGACATGTTGTATATACACGATGTACATACATCGCGACGGTTTGACTTTAAAGATCCTTCTGTTTATGCTTTTTTTCTCCGTTCGATCAGCTGAGTTCTGTGTACATGCGTGCCGCGTATGATTTCGGATTCACGCGATATTTTTTCGAAATCTTTTATTTCTTTATATATTGTAATTGGCTTCGAGATAGCGGCGATGCAATCGCCACAATATTTTTATTACAAAAAATGTTATTTTACACATATTCGATATTTTCAATGTAAAAAATTTTTTTATTTTTTCAAAAATAAAGTTATATCTCGTGAGAAATATTTTTTTAAATATAATATATAAATATTCTTTATAGATAACGTTTTTTTAATTTTATTTAATTTTAATTTGTTTTTATGAAATAAAAATAAACTTTTTCTTTTAAAAGATAATTCTTTGGTTTTGGAAAATGTATACTATAATAGTAACAATATTCACTAGTACATTCATGATACAAGAAACAAAAAAGTTATTTCTTGAATCAATTAAATGCTAAGGATTATTTGATAAAATATTTCAAAGTTAAATGTTATTACAAAATTCTTTTTTGAAACAGAAAAATTTTATTTAATAAAACAAGTAAATGTATGAACACGTCCTTAATGAAACCTCCTTTTGCATTAGTCATCCTGTATTAATTAATCTAATTCTTTTGAGACACAGTACATATTCGTACAACGCACATAAAACGTAATATCCTACGATAATCTCCTCTTTAGATACTCTTTACCATTATCGGAAAATAAAGTGAAGAAATTGTTTCAGCTATCATCGAGGATCCTGTGTATGACGAGATGCCGTCGAATCTGCCGCTCATTCGGAACCGGCGCGTGACTTGCGATCTTCTGTCCTTTCTTTGCGCGGCCAGATGCCGGAAGAAGCGTGATCGCCGCGGTCGCCGCTTTCGAAGCGGTTTCTGCCGCAACGGCGTTTGCATTTGCACACGAAAAAAAACCAGTAGTTGTCGTAAAAGTTAAAAAGTGCGGGCGGTAACTAAATTACCGTCGTAAAATAAGGACTGTTAATATCTTAGCTCTGACACTAAAATTATTTAGTTAAACAAGTTTAGCAACTCAATACACAAAATTTAGCTATAAGACGTACTTCAGTTAGCAGCCATAGCAACACGTATTGCAACAATTCGTTGTAATATTTATATGTAGAAGAACAACTTTTGCTGTCGTTGCAAATATCTTAGCTGCAGTAGTTAAAGCTATTGCTATAGCTAAAGTATACCCAATAGCTAAAGGTGTATTTAAGATAGCTAAACTGACAGCCGAAATACAGTAAAAAAATTTATTTCTTTTATTTTATTATATGATTACATATTATTATTATTTTTTAGAGTTTAATTTGTGGTTACTTTATTTCACATATTTTCTGTTTTATTAATTACAAATACACAGGTTTATAATTTTTTAAAACGCATCTATGATGTTTCGAACCTGAGATCCCTAGAACGGCAGACTTATACGTTAATGCTGAGCTAATTATGATACGCTTTGTACAAAGAACTTATTCTTTCCACATATATTATACATATATTCCTCTGCCTCTGACAATGAGTTTTCGCGTCTAAACAAATACTAAAAGCCTACAGTAATTATTACGAAATCGCACATGATTTTTTCCGAAATACCAAGTCCAGGATAATCACAAACGTATAACACAATATATGGATACTTTTCCAAAATATTGAGTCCGATAAGGCTTAGCACAATCACAAACCTATAGGACTACAGTAAATTATTTTGCTGTAGTGTATAAATGTATAGTCACGGCAGCAAACACAGTTTTAGCAAATCATGATTAACTATGGTAGCGAAATTTCTCTTTTCCGTGAACATATCGGTTAGTTCTGATAACTATTTTTATGTCGCTATACAATGTGATCCTAACAGACATGCATGTCTTGCTATTTTGTTTACCTATTAGAAGCTACAGCAAACTATTTTGCTATAGTGTATAAATTTATAGTTATGGCAGCAAACACAGTTTTAACCAACCCTGATTAGTTATGGCAGCGAAATTTTTTTTTTCCGTGCCACATTTATACTGCCGTATCCCTTCTCTTCTCCGGACTGACGTTACTTTAAACTACCAGATTCTTCCCTTTCGACATTCTAAATGTGTTAACCGTGTAATCGAACTTCGTTTTTAAACCCAAAGCCTCCCCCGTCGGGTGCGATCACCCCGCATCAGCTCTTCCTTGACCATTGGGCGTTCGTGATTACCGCGAATGTCAATTCTCACTTCCTCCTATATTCTCAACTTTCTCTGTGACCGGACAATGCCGTATAATGATTAAAATCACTT